ATAATCTAATCACATGATTAAGCAAAATTTTGAAACATGTTTGTGTAACAGTCTGTCTTTAGCTTGTATGCACTATAGTTTTAGAATTTTGGCATAGCTTTGGAGTTTTAAAATTAGTTTTAGTTATTTTAAACTAATTTTGGTTTCAGTTATTTACTTAATATAATTTTGAACAGCATCATTATCTCTAATACAACTTAGATCTAAGTTTGTATAAAGTTGTTTAATTTCAGCCAAATAGATATATAAAATAGAGCAAAATTTAAAAATTTACTATATAAAAATATAATGTTGAATAAATTTCTATACACAATTTTCTTTTTTGGTAACATATTTAATAGCGAAGATCATCATGTGATCACGTGAATTTCAGCATCATCCGATTTCAGCATCATCCCCGACATTTAATATACTACAGATCCAAAAGATTTTGAAGATCTCAAGAATACTTGGGATTTTCGGGATTTCAAGAATTGCGAATTTCAACGTGCATGAACATAATTAATGTTTGTCGAAAACTAATGTTGGACCCATTTACCAAATAAAAAAATCAAAAAAGTTAGAGAGATACTTATTCGAAGATTATGCTTCCTAAAAATAGCATGCGCATCCAAAAATAACACGCACTCCATAGGGTCATTTTTAATTCAATATGCGGATTCACTGACATAGGTTTCTTCTTACTAAGAGTTTTATACAGTCACATTAAACTTACCGAATTTTGAAATAGGTTCGGAAAAAAATTGGCCCTTGTCTAAAGATAGCGCATGCGCATACCGAAATAACGCAGGTGAAAAAAATGGTATAGTTAAAACTTTAGAAATTTAAATACTAAACACAACCTATTCTCTCCTTAAATAATAATATAAAAACTCAAATCGGATTATTTGTTTCATGACTTTTTCATTTAAATCAAATTGAGGTTAACCTAATTCAAATTACCCAAGAAAGATCCTAATAGTATCGCGTCAATTGATGTGTAACTGATCATCATAATATATACACTACGTGCGTACGTACGTACGTAAGTACGCATGAAAAATAATCTTGGCACCAACCAAAAATTCTCATAAGGCTGTAATTTTGTGCAAAGAACGGATTTGGGAATAACAATAGCAAAATTGAATGATTATTGGTTCGGCAAGTTCGTTCCGTTTACCTAATTACACGAATAAAATATATACAATCTTTGATCCCAATTTAATCGGCGTAAAATGGTTAGACTAGATAATAAGGAACTAGTCCGTCTTATTAGGTTATCGACCAGTTAAAACCAGTATCAGACATAATTAATTATAGGAAGGATATCCAAATCTCACCTCTTAGATGGCATGAATGAAATTTGGCTAATTGTAAGTACATATGTACGTACGTAGCTCTTTCTAGGGTGTGTTGAATGCTAGCATTAATAGTGTGCCCGTGAGAATCTGTTATTTCCTCATGGACTTAACGTTTAAATTTTTTACCGAATATTATTATTTGTAAGTACGTATATGCGATGGGTTAATATAAATATTTAATCTTGGATTCGGATCCGGAAAGTAGTTCAAGCACTCGTACCACGTACACGCACATGTATAAAAAGCGCACTTCTATATTGGATGAATATTGATACTCTTTTTAAAATGGCCAAATATGCCGTTGATACAATGGTGCCACTCCAGGAAGAAAATTCACAAAAATTTGAATACTTAATACCCACAGTTAAGAGTTCGCCAGAATCTAAATCATCTAATATACCGATTCAACCATATAAAAAAGAGGACCTACTTTCCATTAACCATGTAAACCTCGGACCATTCTCACCGAGAACGCAATCCATGATCGATGAACTAGAAAAACATTTTGATGAGCTAGCAAATTCTGAACTAGCAACTTCTGATGATCCGATCTCCATATTTGATTCGCCACATGAAATTAAATCAGACGTTACGTTAGACTTTACGTCAATACCGTTAATAACTGATATTAAAAAAGATAGTGAAGGTGATATCCCGCGAGATTTGAGCCAAATAGACCAGAACTCCTTGGCGAATGATCCCGGAAGTTATAACAATAAAACATATTACACTAAAGATGAAAAATCTAATAAATGTAAATGTTGTATGCTATCATTATGATGTGATCTCTTTATTATAATCATATGTTAATATATCTAACTTGGATGTTATTCATTAGCGGAAAAAATACGATTAAGCCTTGAAAAAGTTTCATTTAACCTTAAAAATGTTATATTAGATCAAGGTATTTATAATTTTTTTTTAAAAAGTAAAATATTTTCATTATAGTTAATTTTAAAAATTTTTATATCAGAAATTAGGGTGCAGGTTGAGGATGACCAAGCGCTAAATAACATAGGTTTAGATTCACCACGTACGTTTAAGGTATTTTCAATATTAAAAACTCAATAACAACTAAATCTTATAATAAATAATAAATTTTTTTATAAAGTATCCGGTGAGGTTCTGCCAGGTAAATATGATTTAACATTTAAATTTCTATAAGGATTTTTGTCGCTTTATTACAAAAATACTAACATTCATTTAATACGTAGACAGTATACTTGTCCATATCAAATTAGTGAATTTTGATCCATCACTACGAATAGATTCTAATGTCAAAAAATCAATTCGTATTATGGTCGGATTAGTAACTTATCATACTAAACCAAGTACATCTCTTGAAGAACAATTGAAAAAATCGTTCCTTTTTCCTTTCAATTATCATTCGTTTGTTTTTGACACAATGAAATTGATTATTTATGAGTACGGGTCTTTCTTGAATAAGAAAAAGAAATGTGGGCGTGTTATTGTTCAATTGAGTGCTTTAAAACAGACTATAATCGATCATAAGGAATTCGAAGGGTGATTCCCGTTTTTTTAAAAAAATTTATTTTCATCAAAATTTTCTATTTAGCTAAATGCATTATCATATTATATGATTTTATCAGAATTTTCCCTATCAAAGCTAATGGATCTTTACTTGAAATTGGTGCCGTCCAAATCAACATAAAATTTCATTTTTCTAATGACCCACCCCTTACTCCCTTAATACAATCACCTTTGAGTCCTTGGAGTCCTATTAGTCGTGATTGCAGTAAAGATGACAATGATGACAATATTGAGGCTCATCCTGATGCAGTATCTCTTGGTATACTTGATACGGTATTAAGGCAAGAGACTAGAGATGCAATTAAAGAAATTACGGCTCTTTATCATACATTTTTTGGTCATGGATGGAGGTTAACAAAATTAGAATTCTTGAAAGCATACATGCTATTAGAGAAATATTATAATCAAAAAAATAAGTAATAATTGATCTTTTCTTTTCTTTATTTATATGCAAATGAACGACTTATTCATCTATTATTATTATTATTATTATTATTTTATTTTATTTTATTTTATTTCATTTCATTTTTTTGTATGCACGTTTTGATGATAGCCCGGTTACAGAAAACTTGTGCTATGATATTGATTTGATAAAAAAGACTCTGCGATATTTACAATTTTCTATGGCATCATATGTAAGTTTTTTACTCTGTTTATATACGCGTAATAACGCGCAGGGGTGTGATTTCGAATTTCGGCCTAAATTAAGCTTAATTTGGGCCATGGCTCAAAATAACACACCGGCCCGCTATTACGCGCCAAATACGTTACTATTTTTTTTTTCACGTTCTTTATTAACAAGGTTGATCTTTAATTGTAGGGATCTTTCTTGTTTAATTGGTTTGGATATGGCCCACGAAGTACATAGTTTTATTTATAAATTTATATTTAATGTACTTTATTATAATGCTTAATGCAATTTTATATAGATGCTTTCGGGATAACTTCTGATCAAAAAATTATTCGGAAATTTTTCAATCTTGATAAAAGTGATATTATCTGTTGGGTATATGGTCAGAAAGCGGTTTCAGTACCTAATTATATGGTGATTAGAGACCCAGAGACAAATTCTATTTTTATATCTATTCGAGGATCTATGGTAAGATTATATATAACTCTTCTTTAATAATTGTATTATTAATTTGCAAATTTTCTTATAGAACATTACAGACTTAATTACTGACGCCCTAGCGCATTACGAACCTTGGAATGGTGGTTTTGTTCATCGTGGAGCGTTCCGCAGTGCGCAGTACCTTATAAATCATTCCTTAAAAGAAATTAGAGATGCCGTAGTAAAATATAATATCAATTCCATAAAAATCATGGGGCACTCATTAGGAGCCTCCATTTCATCTATTACGACCTTGCTTTTACGAGAGCATTGTAAAGATATGCTTGACCGTGGAATTGATATTCATGCATGGAATTTTGCAACTTTTCCATGTTGTTCGCTTGATTTGGCATCAAAAGCCGATACAATGAAATGTATTTATAATTTTGTTAATGAAAATGATATTATTCCAAGATTGAGTTACGGAAATTTAATGGATTTTAAAGAATTGGTTAAATTTGCTGCTAGTGAATTAAAAAATGATGAATATAAAGAGGTATATCATCGTAATCTTGTAATTACCAAAATTTTTTATCACTAATTACTTATTTATTTTTTTTACAAAATTATTATGACAGTTGAGATCAAAACATAAACTCTCTAAAATATTTTCTTCCATCGATGAATACCGTAAAACTTTAAAATTAAATTCATCTTCCCAAAAACTGTATATACCTGGAAAAATATATTATATATATAAAAGAAGTAGTCATTCTCATTTGGAAACATCATCTTCGCTGTTTCATAATAAGGAGGTAGTATGTGAAGAATCCAGACCTGATTTATTTACAGATATTTGTTTACGCCGGAATTGGTTGTTTCATCATTTTCCAGATAGATATGATAAAAGACTTAAAGGAGTTATAAAATTTTTGACAAAAGAATCAGTTGAGCGTACGTCGTAAAGTGTATGTTGAAATATAAAGATATTTATTTATTCTAAATTTTCTAAACTTTCTAAATTTTTATTTGATCACGTGATCATATTCGAATTAATATTTGTTAGTCTCGCAACTAAGTAGTTTTTTCTCTCTTTTAAATTCAATGTTGTTTTATCCTACAAGCCGTTAGGACAATATACTACAAGGTATTAGAATTACAATAGGCTATGTATATTATAATAGAGGCCACCCCAAGAATATTATCGGATGACAAACCCCAAATTCAAAAAAAAAAAACTGCTTATAAAAAATTAAAATATAAGTTCATATATTATTTATTAGAATAGATTTATGAGTCTGAGAGTGGACAAACGATTTTGAATTTACAGAAGCGGATCACCGGCATCAAATTGACAAAATTAGACATAGAATTGTTCATAGCTCGAAGGTTTATATTAATAAAACCAGCTAGCAAAACCTCTAATGTATTTATTTATTTGTTTATTATAAGACTAAGCAATATTCAAAATTAACAAATAAGTGAAGCATTTCGAAAATAAATATAATTTTTCAGTAGCAATTTTATTGTTTAATTATAAATCGGAAAATAAAATAAGATTCTCTGATTTTAGTTTCGAAACCCTCTAATATAGTTAATGTTTCTTGAATATTATGTAGATATATTGCTATATTAAAACTACTAGATAACGAATAACTATATAAATATTGAAAATATCAAACCTTGTGATATTTCCGATTTATTGATTTTCATATCGATATTAAGATACGAAATTAAGTTAAGGACCAATTATAAAAATATTAAATTCTTATTACTTTGTCTACTGTGTATTAGAAAATAAATAATTTAAGAACAATTGCTATCATTTAACAGATTCTATTTCATAAACGCTAAAAATTGTTCAGAAGAAAAAAATTATAAATTGTCAAATCCCAATTTATGTATTTTTTCATCTTTCTTAAGCTTGATGTTATCCAAATTTTGCCACCAAGTAAAAAGAAAATTTTCTGTTATAAGTTTAAACCAGGGAGTATATTTCCAATCTTTAGTAATTAAAAAGAAGAAGAACATATGTGTTAAACAATTTGATCAGTAAGGATATAATTAGGGGATTAATTTTTATACCCCAAATTATTATTATCCCCTGCAGATTAAAAACTTTGAACGAGAGTATCTCAGCAACTACCAGGCCAAATGAACTTTTTTTATTTGAAATCTATGGATACATAGAATTGAAATAAAAAAAAGTTTATCGAATTTGACTTGGTGGCTGCTGAGATATATTCGCTCAAAGTTTAAAAAAAATCAAAACATCTATCAAAAATTGTACTAAAATTTCTTTAACTTTGAGCGAAGGTATCACAGCGACCGTCAGGCAAAATTCGATAAATTTTTATTTGAATTCTATGGACCCATAGAATTGAAATAAAAAAGAGTTTATCAGATTTGATTTTGTGGTTACTGAGATACTTTCGTTTAAATTTTTAAAAAACTTAAAAACGTCTATCAATACAGAAGCTGTGCCAAAATTTTTTCTAAACTTTGAGCGAAGATATCTTAGCAACTTTCAGATCAAATTCAATAAACTTTTTTTTATTTGAATTATATGGATGCATAGAATTCAAATAAAAAAAAAAATTCATCATATTTGGCCTGGTGGTTGCTGAGATATCTTCACTCAAAAGTGTAGAAAAAAATTTGGTGCATTGAATTTTTTAAAACTTTGGACGAAGATATCTCAGCAACTACCAAGTCAAATCCATGAATTATTTTTTATCTGTATTCTAAGAAATCTAAGAATTTACAGAATTTAAATAAAAAAAAGGTCATCGAATTTGACTTGGTGATTGTCTAAGATATCTTCGCTCAAAGTTTAAAAAATTTTGGCGCAGTTTGTTTTGATAGGCATTTTAAATTTTTTTTAAAACTTTGAACGAATATATCTCGGCAACCACAAAGTCAACTTTGATGAACTTTTTTTTTTATATATTTCAATTCTATGGATCCATAGAATTCAAATAAAAAAAGTTTATCGAATTTGGCCTGGTGGTTGCTTAGATATCTTCGCTCAAAGTTTAAGAAATTTTAGTACAATTTGTTTTGATAGACGGTTTGATTTTTTTAAAACTTTGAGCGAAGATATCTTAGCAACCACCAAGTCAAATTCGAAGAACTTTTTTTGGTTCAATTTTATGAATCCATAGATTTTTTTTAAAAAAAAAAGTTCATCAAATTTGGCCCAGTGGTTGCAGAGATACCTTCGCTCAAAGTTTAAAAAAATTTTTAATCTACAGGAGGGTATGAATAATAAATTGGGGTATAAAAAATAATCCCCTAATTATATAAATATAAAATATATTAGAAACGTACCACCAGGTTTTTCAAATTTTTGAGTTAATTCTTCCAAAGACAAATACTCAACAGCTTTAACTTCATTTGGATTTAACTCAAGATCAACGTCAGCTCGGATGATAAGAACATAATCAACTAAACGCAAAATTTCTACATCAATAAATGCAACTTACAAAAAAATTGAAAAATAATTTTAGAATTGAAACGCACTTTCATGTTCACCCCAGATACCATCAGATGGAGCTACATAGTGAATTCTAGTTAAAAATACAAAATTATCAATGGGAACCTGTTGGGGTTTAATACCCAATTCATGTTGTAATTTTCTTTGAGCTGCACGACGGACGCCTTTTCATTAAAATAAATAGAAATGAAAAATTCAAACATTAGTATTTGTACTATTATGTATTTGAAGCTCGCATCAGTAAAAACCTGCTGAATATGAAAAATATGTGTTGTAGGTGGGGACAGAATTTTTGAAAATTTTCTTAATTACTTTTATAACCATAACCTAATATAAACCTAAACCTAATTCCAATTTTAACTTGCCCCTGAATTCGTTTCCCCACTTACAACATGCATATATGTATAATAAGGATTACTATATTAACCGATTTGATTATCTTCATCCAATTCAAGAGAAGTATTTAAAGGATGAGAACAACAGGTATTTGTCCATAAACTTGGAAATGTAATCTTCTCATCAGAACGCTGTTGTAATAATAATTTATTCTCTGAATTAAAGAGAAAAACGGAAAATGCACGATGAAGAAGCCCTTTGTTAATGTTTTCCATAAGATGGCCTAATATTATATGATTAGACAAAGTTAAAGAACATAAGATAAAATTCGAAATTTAAAACAAAATTCCCGCAATGGATACAGTTTTTCTTAGTATCAGCTCCAATCTTTTTATCATTTTCATCGACCAAAATACACATTTCCTCCATTAATCGAACTTGCTCATTATCATAAGCATTAAGACTAAAATTAATATTTGGCATCGTCTTTTCGAAGCGATTATGTAAGTATTAATGGATGGAAAAAAAGAAAGCTAATTACATTAAATGATCCGCAATTTGTACGAATTAAATATTAGATCATGAGGTCTAGGATTTGCCCGTTACCTGCCAATGTAACACCTTCTTAAGATATGGCGATAGTATCCACACATTATAAAGATTAGGTTTTTTTTTAAAAATAAAACTGGACATTATAAGCAACGTTATATAAAAATTATAAAATAATATACAGTATAGAACACCCCCATCGGATAAATATATGCCCTATTTATTATCCAATCATGTTTATGCATATGAATTGCCGAATAGTGTACGTACCATACATGATTTTTTTCACATGACTTCCTGCAAGATTTATAAATATATATGAGGATTTACCTGATTTACCTTATTATACTTAAAAAAAAAACACACACGAATCCGAGCAGTTGACCTGCGATCTCCTGCATAAAAATTTATATGGCATTACAATTTTAATTCTGGTGGGATTACAATCATTGTAGGCCTATCTACTTGTCATTATCGACAGCTGCTACTATATATGTTAGAAGAAATATCATACCAACTTGAAAAAACTTTTATGGGTGAGGAAGTTAATTTCAAGAAAGGAGCTGGTAAGAAAATAGATGCTGAAGATCGAATTATATTGAATGTAGGCGGCGTTAAGGTAATAATTTTATGCTTTTGAAAAAATTAATTTTTATTGTTTACGGAATATTAATATTATCAATTTTCAAGTATGAAACATTTCGATCGACTTTAACAGCATATCCTGAGACATTACTTGGGATCATGTTCGCGGATCGAAATAAAGAGATGCTTCATCCAATGAATGGCAACGAATTTTTCTTTGATAGAGATGGCTATTTATTTCGTCACATTCTTCAATATTATCGTACTGGAATGATTCATTGGCCGGAACCAATTTCTCATCATGAAAATTCCACCCATCACAAACGTTTCGAATCAAGAAAGTTAAAAAAGTCATCAGATGAGTCAGAAATGAAAGATGCTAATATTATTCCTTCATACATGTTTCCATTTTCTCGATCCGAACTTGAACAAGAGATGCAATATTTTCTTATTCCAACCGCTTCTGATGACGATGATGATAACAATTCTTATAATCCACCACTCACATTTGCCAACAAAGCTGTGGTTGACAATGTTAATGGATTTCTAAACTCACTTATTGACGTTATGCATCAATTAGCGGGTCTATTTGAAAAACATATCTTTATCACTTTTTATCACGATCGACAACCACCAATATTTAGTCTAATAACTCCCAACTTAAATGTTGTTAAAAATGAAACTGCACCATTTCGGGAAAATATTAGAAAATTATTGTTACCTTATGCTGGAGTTGGATATACTTTGTTAATGAATTTCGAACGAGAAATTGAGTTATATTTGAAAGGAGAAATACCAGAGTTAAATTGGTCAATTGAAAAGCCTGCAGGATTACCTAATAGGTTTATTCTACATTTGAGTTTCAACGATAAATTTTTAAAACAACAAATATTGAGGAATAGTTGTTTGGCTAAGGTTGTTTATTCTATGAATAGTGATAAATCAAAGGGACATTTCGATAGCTGATAGATATTTAATTTATATTTGAGAAAGGGATTAATATTTCGTATAAATTAATAATAAAATGCACTGGACAATGGATTGTTTCAATAACGAGTCTAAGACTTTAATTATATTATTATAAACTTAAATTATCGTAGTTAATATCATTAATGAACATAGATTAAATATGTATTTTATTTGTCTATTAAGCAATCATGAAATTTTAGCCGTTCTTTTATAAATGTCATATTTATAATAAAACATTTTTAAGTTCTTTATTCTCACTTTAATGTAATTCACCAACAAAGTTAACTTTCTTAAAACAATATTTCGTCAATACGAAACCATCGTCAGAATGATACAATATATAAACATATATATACATTCCATATGTCTTATATCGTATCATATATCATCCAAAAATCTTGTTAATACTAACTCTTGACTATGTACACACTTTCTCTCTGACTGTCAGTCCTCGACTAGTGGTTTTGTCATTTTAGGTCATACAACATATAACGTCATAATAAGGTCATACCTATATTTAGCAAACAATTAAATCATGTGAGATGCTAGAAAGAACTACTATACCGATACGTAAACAATTATTTTTTTTATATTTGATAGTAATTTTTACGTATACATAGAAACAACGTTGAAAAGAAAGTTACGGTTTAAAATTCTTAACAGTTAATTAATTTGTAATTCGCCTATAAACAATAGTACATATTCATTTAATATAGTTTTACGTAATCTCATTTTGCTTTATGGATAAGTTATTTTTTATTAAGTTAATTAACTGTAGGTTTTTCTAATTTTAACAGTACATGATTTTCGATGGTTTTTTAAAACTTTAAATTAAGCTTTCTCGATAACTACTAGGTCAAACTTAATGGAACTTTTTTATTTCAATTCATATAAACTTTTGCTAGAAGACAAAAAATAAAGGATCATCAGCCAATCAGTTAGGGGTTCAGAACTAGGTGATGCGATAAAGGCGATTTCGTATTTAGATTTTGTCAATTATCGGTCAAGCGCAGGAATCCGAAAAGATTAGATCACAATTAATCACAATTTTATTGGATATCACATTATGCATTATAACAAATAACCCTTTCAATGGTGCACGTGATAATTAAATTGTACATAGTAAAATATTAATATGGTAAATCTCAAAGAACTAAAATATTTCAAGCACATTCGGTTATCTTGAGATTTAAGTCTTTATATTTTTGCAAGCACTAGCAGGTATATATTAAAGATTTATTAGCATTTGTAAATGCCAATATTCTATTAGAAATGTTGACAAGCTATGTCCTTGGCTTAAGACGTTTTTCGCAATGGCGGTTCTAAATTATAATAATATTTTAGCAGAAAATAGACCAAAGCTTAGTTTAGATTTTTTACAAATGCTAAATATAATGTATTTTGGTTAAAGTTTTATATCGTAATAAAAAACATTTTTTGTAATTATGGAAACCAATTTTTTCGGGTCCTTGATCAAGCGTAATGTCAGAAAATTTTCAGGGTAATGGTTTAATTAAGGGCAGCCCAATAAAAGTATTTGTAAATTAATATAACAATTTTAATACAATTGTGAGCATTTATACAATTTTTGTTACAGTTTTGTAAATAATTTTATAATAAATGAAATCATAAGCTATAATTTTTTTTATTATATATTTATTACAAACTATTTACAAATCTGTGACAAAAACTGTATGAATGCTCATAATTGTATTAAAATTGTTATTTAATTTACAATTTTTATACAAAAACTTTTTATTGGGCAGATCCATAGGTTTTGTGAAAATACTAGTTTTCTCTTCTAAACTAACATTTATTTCTTACAATATAACCGGTATTTTTTATTAATATAAAATTTTTGCTATTTCTTATTTTATACTACCTATAATTTTTTTCCTTCACGCAAAAAACCTTTAAAATATCTTATTCTGAAAATGGCGTTTTGAGACTATCGATGAAATCAAACTCGAAATTTAATTGGTCGGCACTCACGTTACCTTTGCTAGCATTTAATTATTTTCATCTATTTTATTGAATATAGATTGGATTGTCATAACCCATTTAAAGTCCTAAACTGAATGGATAATTTCATTTAGAAAATGTAAAGATGTTGTTATTTTTGATATGCTTAAGTATTTTTAGTTCAGTTAAAATTTGATAATCTTCTCGCCATTTTTTAAAAACTCAGAATTCCAATATTATTTCATCACGTTCACATAACATTGTGGAGCTTCATTGTTAATGGGCGGTCGAAATTATTACATATTGCAGTATTACACAGTCCTTACAAGTTATGAATACACTTATCGTTTAGATTGCAACACTAGTACAGAATACAAACGCGCATGCATAAATTTTGTATTCGTTAATATTTCTATAAATTACTTTTGTATGTTCACCGTTCTTTAACAAAAGATCTGAATTGAATTTTAACCTAACAGGAGATTTAGAATTAATGACTTCGTACAATGATATTGTTTTACCAACTGCATGGGATATTGAAGATAAATCACCATTTATTGACATAGACTCAAGTGGGCTTAAAGTGAGTTATACAGGTAATTGAAAATGAGAAATCTCGCAGAAACATATTTAATGTGTTACTATAATCATCGGCATTTAAAAGAATATCATTATAGCTATTTAATATTGAAAACCTTTTAATTAAAGATCCTGATGATTATAAAGCTGTAATCGTTCGAGCAAATAATCCAATCCCTTCAGAGTGTGGGATATTTTACTTTGAAATTAAAATTATGAACAAAGGAAAAATGGGTAATATTAATAATTATTTCGTATCATAAACATCACTTTTGTTCTGGTGATTTTTTGTAATCTTTTAATTCTATTTTCTTAATAGAATGATTGGAATCGGATATTGACAAAGCAAAGCGATAAAAAATAGACGATTCAAATTATATAAATAATATGCTCATGCCTGGTATTAGCAAATCTTTATTTTATTCGCTTATTATTATAAATTAGCATCTAAATTATATCTTTTAGGACAGGAAAACGAGGAATATGAAAGAAACAAGGAAAATGAATCATGGGGGTGTGGTTATCATGGTGACGACGGATATTCTTTTTATTCAGGAAGTGGTGGGCCATATGGAGAGTCATATACTACTGATGATATAGTTGGATGCTATCTAAATTTTAGAAATAAGATAGTATTTTATACTAAAAATGGAATTAACTTAGGTACCGACATTTAGAATTGAAGATTACATTTTTAAACTGAATAAACAGAAATTTAACAACCATAAAATATTTTAAGGGATTGCGTGACATCTATATAGCGATTTCAGAGGCGTTCTATATCCTTGCGTTGGATTTAGATCGAAAGGCGGATCAGTAGAAGTGAACTTCGGCAACAAAAGATTTAGATATTCTGGTAAATTTATTCAAAGTGTTCAATCTTTTTTGGTTTGTTTATAATTTAACCTATATCAATTGATAGCAATGACTAATGAAGACATTAGTAAAAAATCAAAGAATGCATTAACGTTGGAATATCAAGAAAGGGAATATTTTATTATGGGTGGATATGAAAATATGCTTGTTAATTTAATTGATGAATTAACAAAATCACTAGAAAAAGATCCAAGTAATTTATTTGAATTAAGCTACCGAGGGAAAATATATTATATTATGGGCAAATATGATGAGGCATTTGATGATTTAAGTAGATTGCTAGAAATTGAACCAAATAATATAATGGCATTAAAATATCGAGGAGAAATTAATTATATGATGAAAAGGTATAATGAGTCAGTCGCTGACTTGGAGAAATTATTAAGAATTAAACAAATTGACGGATGGGCTAAAAAAGCTTATGAATTAGTTAAGGGGTTGTAAGTATGATATGCACTTGTAAATTTTAATAGGCTAAAAAAGCTAATAATTCGATTACCACTTAATGTCAATCACAAGTCGGTAAGTACAGTAACAGAATTTATAGTCAATCACTATAACTAACCTATTTTTAAATCACTTGTATAGCTCGTAAGTACGGTGAACCAGGATTTTTTACAATAAATCACTATAGAAATCACGTTCATTCCAATACAAAACCAACATAACAACATAGCCATATCTAAATCACTTGTATCACTACAGCGAGTAAGTACAGTAAACTATATATGACGTAAATAACATTTTAGTCTGGATTCAAAAAATAATTACCTATATCTAACACTTGTATTACCACAATAGTCTGTAAGAATTTTTTACAGTAAATCCCTATAGAAATCACGTTCATTCCAATATAAAACTAACATAGCATATTTAAATCATTTGTATCACCATAATAGTTAGTAAGTACAGTAAACCAAAAATTTTTCACAGTAAAACACTATAGAAATCACGTTCATTCCAATACAAAACTAACATAACAATATTTAATTACTTGTATCACTATAGCGCGTAAGTACAGTAAACCAGAATTTTTCAAGTAAATCACCATAGAAATTATGTTCATTCCAATACAAACTAACATAACCATAACCATATCTAAATCACTTGTATCACTACAGCGAGTAAGTACAGTAAACCAGAGTTTTTTTACAATAAATCACTATAGAAATCCAATACAAACTAACATAACATATTTAAATCACTTGTATCACTATAGCTTTAAGTACAGTGAACCAGAATTTTTTACAGTAAATCACTATAGTAATCACGTTCATTCTAATACAAAAACTAACATAACCATTTCTAAATCACTTGTATCACTACAATAGGCGGTAAGAATTTTTTCCAGTAAATCACTATAGAAATCACATTCATTCCTAGGGATGGGATCGGCTTGGCCCGGCCCAAAAGCCACGGCTAAGCTGGCTTACTATGAGCCCTATTCATTCCAATACAAAACTAATATATTGTTGGTGGCAAAACTAGAGCACGTGTCTCTATAGTCACCACTGGGATACAAAAGAAACTACCAAAAACCAAAGAAAAACCACACAACAAAACAACAGAGTCGAGGTGGT